GCTGATTAGGCCAGGCCCACCCAGAATACCCTCTCTATGATTAGCTTGAATCAATTGATTGACTTAAACTCTGACTTATATACCTGATTAGGCCTGGCCCACCCAGAATAACCACTTTATGATTAACTTGAATCAATCGATTATGACTTAACTCTGACTCTACACCTGATTACGCCTGGCCCACCCAAAATAACCTCTTTCTGACTAGCTTGAATCAATCGATTATGGCTTAACTCTGCTTTCTACACCTGATTAGGCCAGGCCCACCAGAATATTATCTCTATAATTACCTTCAATCAATCGATTATGACTTAAGTCTGACTTCTACACCTGATTAGGACTGGCCCACCCAGAATAACCTCTCTATGATTAGCTTGAATCAATCCATTATGACTTAAGTCTGACTTCTACACCTGATTATGCCTGGCTCCCTCAAAATAACCACTCTATGATTAGCTTGAATCAATTGATTGACTTTAAACGCTGACCTCTACACCTGATTAGGCCTGGCCCACCCAGAATAACCTCTCTATGATTAGCTTGACTCAATTGATTGACTTAAACTCTGAGTTTTATACCTGATTAGGCCTGGCCCACCAAGAATAACCACTCTGTGATTAGCTTGAATCAATTGATTGTCTTAAACTCTGACTTCTATACCTGATTAGGCTTGTCCACCCAGAATAACCTCTGTATGATTAGCTTGAATCAATCGATTATGACTTAACTCCGACCACTACTCCTAATTAGGCCTGGTCCAGAATAACCCAGAATAACCACTCTATCATTATTTGAATCAATTGATTGAGTTTTTTTTTTAATTCCACGGTCATTTATTTTGTATTGATTCATTTTTTTATTAATTTATGTTTTACTATGAAGTACACATTTTTAGAATTAGTTTCAGCTGTACAACACCGTGCAATAGTTATACTTTTTACTCCTCAAGTGACAACCCTCCTCCACCTATCCGCCGCCCCATTTCCTCCAATATCATACATATCTATTACAATTCCCTTGACTCCACTCCCACACTGTACTCCACGACCCATGACTATATATAAATATATTTATATACATATATATGTATATGTATGTATTCACTTATAGTTGACATACAATATTATACAACATCAGCTTCAGGTGTACAGTGCAGTGATCAAGCCTCTTCCCCATCCATGATGCAAGACATGTGACCACCTGACACCCTACAAAATATT